AAAATGCTTTTTTTTTTTTTTTTTTTAAAAATAAACTAGGAGTAATGTAGAGAAAAGCAGAAAACATTTTGAGTGGATGAGCATTTGAAATGTGAGCGAACAGAACAGGCCCTGCAGATGAACCTGTTTGACTCATAGCACTTATGCATGCAAGGCACGTAAATGATGATTGAGGGTAATTAGAGTTCAAGTATAAACCCCTGGAAACGAGTTCCTCCACGCCTGTGTAACTGTAGGACTAGAGGACACATCCATGTTTGTGTAACTGTAGGATCAGAGGACACAAAGGCCTTTTACAGTCCTCTGACCTTCTGTACATTCAGTCTCAGGTTACTGGTTGCAGCAGTCATGGAGCCCTGTCACCAGATAGCACCCAGCTAGGATCGCTGGGAAGAGATGGCATTACATTTGCTCTGGCTCTAATGAGGGACACACAGAACTGCAGAAAACAACAATTTGACTGCTAAAAGACCTGGCAGTGATTTTAACTGTTTTTGGCCATCCTTGTCCAAAGCACATAAAAAACTCCGTGATACTGGAAATGAAAGACCCTGAAATATGTACTATATTACTCAAAACGGTCCAAACACCAGAAACAATAAGTTAAAATATAACTCCTGGCAACTTTGGTCTGTAGGGCTCTATATGTCCATCTCTATCAGGTATAAGTGCAGGGCAAAGGGGTGTCTTTCCCAACTGTGACACTGTCAGCTGACACAGTTAAGTGTGACAGGAAACGTTAACCAGAGCTTGGCCACTCCAGTTCATAAGATGGCACATTAACGTAAAGCAAAATCTCAGACAATTAACATCAATAGCCAGGGCAGAGACCTGAGGGAGCAGAGCAGGTGACCTGGGGCCTGCTAAGCCACTTCTGCAGCAGAGATAAACACGCCCAGCACCAGAGTGAAGCAGACAGCTCTCCAGCAGCCCTCAATGCTCTTGTTCAGGTCCCTCATGCTCTTGTGATACCATTTATACCTGCTAAAGGTATCTGAGAAATGCTCATAGTCCACAAGCTGAGGAGAGGCTTAAAGTAGTAGTGTTTGGTGCCTTGTGACACAGGCACAAACAGTATTCCAAGTCGAGGCTGAATTAGGCCCTAAGATCCTTCTTCGGCATTTAAGAAAGTCATGGCTATATTTTTTTAATGAAAACTACTTCTATTGATTACAGTTAGAACTCTAGGGCACTTAAAGATTTTTGGAAATATGGCTTTTCATTGTAATTAAGGGCATGGATAAAACTGCAAAAATAGTAGTTCCTGCAAAGGAAGTTGCTACTCAACCAGTTCAAAGATTCTGTGACTACAAACTAGAAAAATGCCAAAACAGGCCAAAACTCCTCAGCTTATTGAAAAGAGATTAGCGGTAACAAGCATAATGTTACTAATGCTTATAAGAATGTAAACAAAGTGATGGTTGTTTTAGTGCAGCAAGAGAATCCCTTGTTACCTGTAAGGTTATATAGAATAAAGGCATTGTCTCCCACGTCTCTGTCTGTCGCCGTGACTTTCCCAACTATGAATCCCACCGGTACATTTTCATCTACGCTGAATGTGTTGAATGGATCAAACACAGGTGGCCAGTCGTTAACATCAATGATCTTTATTATAACAGTGCAATAACCCCTTTTCTTCTCAGGGATTCCATCATCTTCAGCATATACCACAATCTGTAAGTCACACAATTATTGGTAATGAGAAATCATACAGATAGATATTTGCATGAAGTTTAAAAGATCTGGAGGGTTCTTAATTTTTGGAGTATTCTTAGAAACTGAATGCAAACCTTGAAGTCACTTCAAAACATTTTTTTGAAAACTTAAGCATATTTGCTTGATTTAAAAAGTCTTTCTTCTTTCTGTTCAGAACCAATTTACCATCATTTTTTTCCTGAAGCTAAGTAAGATCATAATATTGGCTGCAAGAATAAAATAAGTTTAACTGAGAGTCTTAGCTCCAAGATCTCAGTGCAGTAGAAACTCAAGCAAACACATAACTCAATGCATGAATCACCACCGTGAAGTTACTATTCACGTGCTCCTGTGTCCACGTGTTTGTAGAACTGGGAGTCTATAAGCATTGCTTGAATTTCAGGTTAGGTATTACAATTTACAGGCTGATTTGCTATAATAAGGAATCATATATGGATGTGCACATTTAACACAACACATAAAATGTTCAAGACCAATCAAGCAAAAAACAAAACAAAAATGTCATCAACTATACAAGGGCAAGATAAGGAACTATGAAAAGATTTAAGAAATTTAAAGCAAACCTGATATTCTGTAGGTTCCTCTTCATAATCAAAGGAGGTGATGGAATAAAGGATTCCTGTAGCTTCATCTATTCTGAATTTTAGGCTATCTCCACTGAGTATGCCATATGTTAGGAAACCATTTCTGCCTGCATCATTATCCTGAGCTTTCAGCTGCACAATCTGAGTAGCGGGTAAATTCTGTCAAGAAAGAACAGATTGAGCCTGTCAGAGACTTTGCTTAGCTCCAGCTTCATGATTTATGTGAAGGAGGAGTAGCAGACACCACATACATTTACAAAAGTATAGACACTTTTCAATCAGAATTAGTTAATTCGGCACAGTAAGAGAAGCGCTTGCTTTCTGTAATATACAGAACAGTTTTTTCCCCCCAGTTCCATTTATAACAGTGATCTTCAGGGACAGTCACCATTTCAAACAGGATCAAATTGTTTTCAAACAGGATCAATGATAAATGCAAGTGTTTGGCTTGCCTTTAAGGAACTACTAGTAGCTTCTAGTCATCCTTTGAAACTCAAAAGACATTTTCAACTTCAAAATCATGTTTCTGTAAGAATATTATTTGGCTAATAAACTTTTTTTTTCAACTGTAAACAACACAGGAAAACAACTGTAAACAACACAGGAAAACTGTAAACAACACAGGAAAAAGAAGTCTGTTTCTTCCTTTTACAAACTGTTACTTAAATTAACATTGACAGCAAATATCAATGTTTAACTTGTACAGCAATTTGATACCTGATCTAAAGTTACAAGATCCAACACAGCATCCAATAGTACCTTCTTTGTAAATACTTCACATGGAAATTAATTTTTAAGTTTGGGAAATTTGGGAAATGTGTAATAGTGAAAATGTATAATAGTTAAATCTATATTTAACTCAACATTAGAAAATGACTAGATTTCAAATCAATTGGGTCTTCAGAATTTATGTGAACTAGCTGGTAATCTCAAAGGCAAGGTATGTGCCATAGAAAATACAGACATGATCAATGTGCTTATTTTTAAAAAATCATCTAGCAGCTGATTGTGTGAAAAGTGTTAGCTGAGAATGCAAACAGTGAAATGTTGGGCTAGATACTTTTGCAGAGATAAATGCCAGGGTTTCCGTTTCAGGCTTCCAAAACATAACAGTAGCAGACTGGAATCTGCCTTGTTTTATATTACTGATAACTTAGGGGCCAGAGGAGTCATAACAGATTATATTTTATGAAGAGGAGGAATAATGCTACTTTTGAGAAGACTTCGGCCTGCTATTTCTCTACATGAAGCTCCTTTATGGGCTGATAAAGAGCCTGGAGGATGACAAGAGCATTCGCTAGATTGGACATGCACATGAAGATGCTCTGTGTACAAATATGCAAGATGATGTGGCTATTTCTTGCTTCATGAAGATTGTTCACTTTTCCTTTAATACATTTATATTTCTGGACCATTTTCTTTGTATTTTGGAAGCTTCAGGTTCAAATAAACCATAGAACATCATATGTCAGAATGGAAAGCTCCTTCAGTTCCAAGATGTACATGCAACGTACTTTTTATTATTTTGAGTGTTCATTTTTGTGAGTCAGTTTATGGAGACATTTTCTTACCTCTTCCAGTTTTTCTTCTACTACAGACGATGGGAAAACTGGAGCGAAATCATTTTCATCAATGATTTCTACATTCACAGAAACTTGATTATATATATTAGAGTTAGATGAATCTGTTGCTTGCACTTTGAAAGAGACTGGAAAATGTTCTACAGTCAAATTCTTTCTTGTTCTTATGATACCAGTGGATGGATCAATAATAAAATACCCTGTTTAAAACAAAACAGAAAATACTGTATTATTTTATTAAACTGAAGATATGGGCCCTTCAATGCAAGATACATATCATGTATATGACTGTCTTCTGTTAAAGTGTCCTTCAAAGAACAAAATAAAACGTAGTATTTTTGTACACTTGCACGAATTTCATAACTATCCAAGGCTATAACTAATAAAACCAAATCTTTCAGAAGGCCAGGATGGGAGCAATAGGGCAGCAGTTCCCAGTTCTCCAGCAGGAGTCCTTCACCTTCCGCTGAAATAGTCAGAGGATTCTGTGAACCTGAGGCAGTCTGCAATTATTGCATGTCCTATGAACTCCTCTTCTTGCTGATAAAAGGAATTTGCAAATACGTTTAAGGAGATAAGAGCTTCATACACTTTACAGAAGTAGCAACACATAGAGGTTGTGTTTGATGACAGAATATAATCAGTTCTAGGGCTTTCATTAGTAGTAGAAAGAAACATTTGAGACAAAGCACCGATTCAGGTGATTGCATGTAAACTTCCTCTACATGTTCAAATTTGCTAAGAAAACATTGTTGAGTTAGCTTTTTACCAGCAAGACTTATGCCCGACTAGGTATTGCCTCTCCACTTGGCTGTAACTTTATGCCTGATCAGGGAGCACCTGATCTCCTGTAGGAGACATGGGAAAGCATAGAGCTAGTGAATCAGCTCTGTATCACGTGGCTATAGCTAATCTGATAGAAACTCAGTCATGTGTCACACTTGATCCATATCAAATCTGTACATCTGGATCCTGCAATAGTCTATACATTCAGTATTAACACTTCAAGACTGAGATAAAAGCAGAAGAAATAATCCAAGAAGAAGAAATATACAAAATCTAAGTGCTTTGCAGCAATAATTCTTTACCACACCTTCTTCCTTGTTATTTCATGTAAATAAATGGCTTACCTTTGCCATAGCTTACCATTTTGATCACCAGATATAATACTGTATACCACAGGGACATTGTACAACACTCTGATCTGTACTACAAATGTATCTGGCGGTGCCTTCTCACTCAGAGGGGCAGGTTGGTAGACTGCCTCAGAGAACAATGGGTAGGAAAGGTTGCTCGGAACTATCATTATCGACACCTGCAGGGCAAAAACACATGAGCCCAGTGGTCGTATAACTATGTTTTCAGGTTTAGCAGACTTTTTCAGGTTTGCAAGTGCCAAAGTCTAGAACATTTTCAGAAAGAAAAACCTTGAAAACTGCTGAAAAGTTTGATTGTTGAGTTTGACACATTCATATCTCAAAAGCAGCAAAGCTTTGTGAAGGATGCAAGCAAACTCATTAGTTTAGGCTCACCACTATATTTTCCTAAATGTAGAGAGGGATCCCAGTTCATCACATACAACACACTTCACATGAGCAGCCTGGCTAAACAGCTCTCAGAAAGAGGTACTGCATTTGTAACAGATTTTTCCACATGGGGTATGTATGACCAGAGCAGGAGTTAACAAACTCCCGGTTTGGTTTCAAGGTTTGGAAGTAGGGAATTTTGAAGTACTGATGTATATAAACAACTATAACTACTTTTATATCTATAAGTAATTAATGCCTCATGCTTCACAAAAATAATGACAACTTGCTAGCCAGTTACTGTCTAGTTCTGTGAAGAATAAGAGCTCACAATTCTACATTTTGAAATTCAATCAAATGTCATTTTGTACATGTTTTTATGCATACACATTTCTAGTCCTTTTTTGACTTCTGTGTGAATTTTAAGTTGTGATGTTGAGCAAAAGATCAGATTTATAAGCAGCATAAAATTCTTTGTTTTATATTTAAGTATCCCTACATTTAAAATTCTTTTTTTTTCTTCATATTATAAGAGGAAAAAACAGGAATATATGATATGCTGTCTCTTGTTGACCATATCACATATATCTATTATGTCTTCCTTACTGTCCTACACTTCTGACCTTGTGTAGAAGTCTCAATTTCTGTAACACTCCTCTCTGATGGTACATAGTTTTGGTCTTTAATACATAATCTCTATTTTTAACATCTTTTTTTTTTTTCTGGAACCATATGATCAGAACAATGATGGGTGATGTGTCAACAATGGTTACAGTGGCATAACTCTGTAAATATTATCATTCTGTATCTCATTCCTGCAATAGAGTGGATATTCTGACTCCAGTTTTGCAGTTTTCCCTCCTAATGCCCATTCCCCAGAGAAGTTACACTCAGCTTAGAATAAGACTACTTGGTAAATAAACTGTGCAAGCAGATACTGAAGGAAAAAGTTCAGTACCTTGGCAGAGGTGGAAAGAGGTGGCACGCCGAAATCTGTGGCAGTGACTGTCAAAGAGTAATACAAAGGAACACTCTGCTTTGACAAGTCTCTTGTTAAATTGAGTTGTCCTGTGGTACTGGAAAGACTAAAGAGGCCTTCTGAGTTTCCATCTGAAGAGAGAAAAAACAGTGATGGAAATGTTCAACAGAGCTAGCAGAGTACAGTGACTGATTTATATACCCAGACTTAAGAGACATGGGTTAAAATTGCAATCTGTAGGTGTGATTTGGCCCAAGGCAGCTGGCCTCTCTGCCTTTCTTGATTCTTCATCTAAATCAGGGAATCATTCTGCCTGCAAAGGCCCTCACAAGGTCATCAGTTCAACCTCTTTCTCAAAGCAGGGTCATCACTGAATTCAGACTGGGTGCTCAAGGTTTTGTCCTGTGCAGTCCTGAAAAGCCCTAAGGATGGCCTCTCTGTGCCAGTCAGAATGCCCCATTTCATTTTTATGGCCATTGTCACTCATGCTTGTGTCATGCATCTCATTCTAGTACACAACCTAGCTCCATCTTCTCAGTAACTTCCTCCTGAGTACTGGAAGAGAGATCCCCTACCTGGACTTCAGCTACTGCAGATGCTTGTTTGCTGCCAGTCACAAAAGCCTGCGATACTTTGTCAGTGAGGACCAAGGCAGAGGGCACTGAGTATGTCCATGGTACCTGCATCTGCTATCATGACATCACGCACCACCATTGGCAGTGGGACCACATTTTCCTTTTTTATTCTTGTACTGCTAATGAATTGGGTAAACTCTTCCTGTGGCCGCTGCCATCCACTGCAAGTGTCAGCTCTGGATAAGCTGTGAGCTTTCTAGCACCATCCCTATATGTCCTGTTTTCACAGTCTTCCTTTGTAGACTGTCCATGCTTCCACCCTCATATACTGTCTTTTATGCTGAGGCTCAGTCCAAAATTCTGTTTAGCAAAGTCAGCCTTTTTACACATCCACTTATTTTCCTGAGCATCAGGATGGACCAGTCTTGCAGTTGACAGATGTTGGCCATAAAGATCCACCAACTCTCTCTTGAGCAACTTCGCATGTCAGAGCTGCCTCCCACAGGATCACATCTGCCAACTTCCCAAATAGGCTCAAATTTGGTCTCCTGAATTCCAGGGTTTGTGCTCTTCCCCTTGTCTTTATCACTCCCCTCAGGATCTTGAACTTCTCCATTTGAGGATAACTACAGCCAGGGCTGACATTAATGATCACCGGCCCAAGCAGTATATTCTTGTTCATGAGTAAAACACATAAAATAGTACTTCCTTTCACACAGAGATGTTAGGAATTGTATCAAGGGCTGACCAGCTTACAAACTCCCCGTTGTGAAGCTGGGAGCTGAGCACCAATTAACCACCGAGGTTTCCAGGTGTCTGCTTTAAGGTTATGCTCTTCTTGATTCATGATAGCTATAGAGACCATATATGCTTTGAAGATGTTGTTATGTGAACTTATATTTCAGCCTCATGGTTTCCCCTGTTCAAATGCACCTGCTGTCTTGTATTTTGTTAGATTCCAATTTCAAGGACTCACTGGAAGCCACCATCCAGACTGGAGCTTTTGGATACTACTATAATATAGTATCTCCTTAAATTTCAGTTCTGTGCATGAATGATTCACAACACTGGATTTCTATGGCTGACTCCAACAAACTTTGAACATGTCTGATAGAGTTTCATTGTCCTTTTGCAAGCACACTTCATTTTGCCAAAACCGGGTACAAGTACTCTGCTAATAAGTACCCACAAGAGTTTTTCAAACGTACCTGTAATATTGTAGAGGATACCTTCATCATAACCTTTGTTCTCATCTCTTGCATTGATATCTACTACCAGTGTGCCAGCTGTTGAATTGTCAGGAAGGATCTGGTAATACGAGGGCTGGTCAAAAATGGGTCCTTCATCATTAACATCTTCCACGGTAACTAAGAAAACGAGGTACATGTCTGAGTGCAAATAGGAGTTTCACCTAAATGCTTACAGTCTATTTCTTCAGCTGATACAAACCAGCAGAGCTCCTCTGAATTACCTTGAAGTGCATTCAGTTTAAACCAGATAGCAACCTTGTTTTCTATACTTCAAAACTGGTGCCCTTATGCATTAAATTATTTACTGTTCTGGTAATAGTTTCCTCACAATGGATGAGCTACTAACATGCTGTCACTGCTCTCTGTCATAAATAATATAATTGTATTTTCTCTCTGGGCTCCCTTCTATGCCTGGGTTAATCTGATATCTCTTGTTTTTGGCTTTAATTGCATGAACTGACACACAGGACTTGTTAATGCTACGTTTGTATATGAGCTGGTACAGCAAGGTTGTAACCTGCTGCTAGTGATGTAGGGCCTTATAGTACCACACACATATGTATACACACACACACACATATTACATATAAAACATTAAAAAATATCTGTCAGCATGTGTAGTTTTAAGGCACAAAGATAGCTTTCCAGCAGTAATATATTCTGTCACAGTAAATTATTAGAACTGATGATATGATATTTTAACTCTTGCCCACTCAATTGCTTGCTGAAATATCCTCTATAATAAAGCAAGTAAACTAGAGCTACCTGTGATGTTTGCTGTGTCCAGTAAAGACGGGTCTCCAGGATTGAAAGCTTTCAGAATAAATGTATAATGGGCACGACTTTCATAGTCCAGAGGTTGTAAAGTTGTAATATTTCCAGAAACTTCTCCAACATAAAATGAAGAAGTCTCTCCAATTATAGTGTAATAAATAATAGCATTGTACCCTATGTCTTCATCCATGGCTGTTGCACTCAAAATCTATATGAGAGGAAAAAAAATTTAGTGCAGAACAAAGAGAATGGCAAAATACACAGAGTTGGTCTTTAACTATATCATATTTACTGCCTGAATTACTCATATGGTCATTAATGACACTACTAAAACACTGACACAGCATCTAGCAAAGCACGTTATGGAGATATCTTAGATCAAACCTCTTTCTGTGATCCCTGTGAAGCACTAGTTCACATCTGGAAGACCAGAAATGGATGTACTGGGGGAAGGACAGAACATATTAGGAGCGTGGAAGTCCAGGATATGTGCACAATATATTAAGATTTACAGCATGCTGTCTGTAGGTCATCCGAAGAACAGGTATGTGTAGTTAGGCATCATTGCTAAGGCCAGAAGTGAAAGGGAGATGGACTTGAAGAAAGCTTGAGGAACAGTCAATGTGATGGAAAACCTATCATCATATAAAACTAACACAYTGTGTGATTTTACATATCCCACAGAGTCAGTAAACTATACGCTCCACTGCACAGTCATCAYGGACTAGTACTGTTTACATAGGAAAAATGACTGCAGAAGAACAGGCTACTTATTCTTAATGCCACATACCACATGTGGAGGCTCATTCTCTTTTACAGACACAGTGTATGATTTCTGAGGGAACACTGGTGGGTTGTCATTCACATCTTCTACAGTTATGCTTAGAATTAAGCTTGCAGATTGTGATGGTTTGCCAGAATCAGTGGCCTGTGAAGAAAATAAACAAATAGGTAAATTTGTCATTAAATAAAGCACTCCATTCACACAAATTTGCTTTTCCAGTTCAGCTTTGTTTCAAAAATTCTAAAAGGAAACTCTGTCTCAGAAGACTTCCTTCTGGATCAGTTATCACCTAGTTTCACTGCGCTAACTCTGTGCCTAATTTGGTGTTGCATGTCTTCTGCACTTGGTATTGTCCCCATATCATGTGCTCTGGCTCATTTCATGA